AACGCTTGTCCGGCGTGATTTAGAGTGCAACGCGCGGGCAGCATTCAGTCATGCGGGGGGCGGGGAAGGGGGCGGGTGGGGGCGAAATGAGAGGGCGTATATGGGAACAGGGTTTCGTCCATAATCGATCCTTACCATGGTAGTGACAGGTTTATCCCGTGGTCCAACTGCTTACAGAGTTCTGATTGCCTTCTCCATATTGCAGCGACCTCTGCAAAGCGCAAGAGACGCCCGGTCGTCGCCCGAAACAGGGACCTTGAATGCAACCATTGGGTCCACCGTATGGCTCGTGTCCACTAGGTCCTAGCAGGCATTTTCATGTCTAATCTAGAGCGAAAAATAACCCGGAACTTACAACGAGCCTCACTCTATAGGCGATATGTGGATGACATTTTCGTCATAATCAAAAAACCCAGGCGACGGAGAACTACTACTCAAGACTGTGAACCAAGCACATGCAACGATCAAATTTACGATCGAGCATGAGAAGAATGACACTCTACCTTTCCTGGATATTCTTGCACGTATGCGGGCAGATGGCTCTATTCAGAGATCTATCTATCGAAAACCCACCTGGAAAGGACAATACATGCACTTCCTCAGTTTCGTTCCAATTCAGAGAAAACAGAATTCGGTTTTGTGCCTGTTCAACAGAGCACCAGAATCAGCTCCTCAGATACGATGGATGACGAGCTTACTTTCCTAAGGAACGTTTTGCTTGCAAACGGGTATCCGGAGAAATTCATCGATAAATATCGTCATCCCAGACAAGGAACTCCTGAAGAAATATCTGTACCAAAAAAGTCAGCGACCATTTACCTCCCCTCCTAGGGTGATAACGTGTCCAACGTGATCAAGCGACGCCTTCGGTGCACAATCGAAAGGACATATGCTGCCTCTAAATTGTTGTTCATAAGTACCACAACGGCCATCCCAGTTAGACCAGTTAAAGACATTTTGCCTACGTACGCCACATCAAACTGTATTTATGAGTTTAAATGTAGTGGCGGATGCAAGTACATTGGGCGCACGCAAAGCAGTTGGCAGCTCGGTCAGCTGAACAAATGCCGAAGTGGCTGCTTAAGGTGGAAAATAAGGTACCCAGGAGCTCAATCACAAAGCACCTAGTGGGCACGAACCATACGGTGGACCCAATGGTTGCATTCACGTTCCTGTTTCGAGCGACGACCGGGCGTCTCTTGCGCTTTGCAGAGGCCGCTGCAATATGGAGGAGGAAATCAGAACTCTGTAAGCTGTTGGACCACGTGATAAACCCGTCACTACCATGGTAAGGATCGATTATGGACGAAACTCTGTTCCCATATACGCCCTCTCATTTCGTCCCCACCCGCCCCCTCCCCCTCCCCGGCATGACTGAATGCTGCCCGCGCGTTGCACTCTAAATCACGCGGGACAAGTTCTTACTGTAGTCCTATATCTCCCCTCCCCCCCTCGCCATATGCACCCGCATACTAGACCCATGTTTCATGTTACCTATCACGTTTTTTCTCTCTAGGTCGATCGTTGATTGTATAGTTTGCCTTGTCATATAACTGTGCAATGACCGTACGCAACTGAATGAGAGGTCTCGAAATTTATGACGTCAGTAACTACTGCATGTTTTGTCGCCCTTGCCTTATTCAAATTGCCAAGATCTCATTACCCGAATTGGACGCTGGCGTGATGATTGCTCGGCCATCCGGCTCACCGGCTTTCGCGCTCCACAAGGGGTTAACTGCTCTGTTCAGACTATGACTCAACACGAAATATGGAGTGGGGATGTCGTTGCACTTGTTGATGGAGTGGGACCCCGTGAACCATGACTAAAGCAACTCGCGGCTCACGCGATTATCCCCTCTCGAGAAAATTTCAGCCTCATCGAACTTGAATGTGTGGTCGGGTCTCGTCGAATGGGCCGCGACCTGAGAGTTGGCGTCATTTCTCCGTACAGCTGCCACGTGTTCGGCGATTCGCGTCCGGAGAAGTCTTCCAGTTTCTCTGACGTAGTTACTTTGCCCGCAACTGTACCAGATCCGACAAACGATTCTAGATGTTTCCTGCCGTGACAGTGGGTCTTCTGGTCTGATCACCGGACGCCTTATGGTGGCCTCCGGTCTGATGTGCACACATGGATGACGCGCATCGATGCATGGACTTCCGGAGAACAAACCTGCTTCACCGGAATAAATGATGTTGCTTCACTTCCCGTCAGTCGTCATTATTTTTGGAAGCGACAGTTTTCTTTCGTGGACATCTCCTGGCTAAGGTTGGACTGATTGAAGTGAACGACGCACGTTTAAAATACAGTGACAATATCATTCAAATATATCTAAATTGTCTCTACTGCAGCTGGCTTTTCATTGGGCGACTTTGAAGTGAACCGAGCCAGACCTTCATCGTTTGGTGCCAATTCTATGGAGTGTCTAGAGGCAAATTGGAGCTTAGGTAGACTGCCTGTATACCCTGCCTTTGATTTCATGCTGGTGAAATAGGTTTTATTTTAAAAACGTTGACCACTGACCATTTCTCGTTCACCAGAGTCTGACAAGTACTGAGTCAAATAAAGAAGCTGCTTAACGAGGTCATCAGAAGCGCGTTGTTTTAGGTGAAGGCAAGAGGACCAAATCGACGGTTTGGATGATATTGATTTTCCTTCGAACCAGTACTATCTATGCGGAGAAACATCACCGACAAAAACAAGGCAGACTAGGCTGGTCAGTTCGGGCTTATTAGCCGTCGTCAGCCTGCCATATCCACTTCCGAGGTGTGGAACACCTGGGGCTCCATTCCGCAACCTTATGGCTAGAAGTCTAACGCCCCTAATCACTTTGTCACCGGCTCGCTGTCCCGTCGGTTACGATCTGAAATATACAGTGGTAGAGGACTCCTAGCCAACGGGTTGCAGGATCGGACCCCAGGTGTTTCACACCTCGGGGTCGTGCATGCCTGGCTGACGACGGCATATAAGCCGGAAATGGCCATTCTATTCTCCCTTGTCTTTGTTGGTGATGCTACTCTGCCCATAGTACGCGCCGCTATGCGGCTGCTGGATTTGCTCAATAGAGGGCCCCAAGGCACAACGGGACGAGTCAGTTCCATTACACGATCGGCGAGCGCCGCTCTACCACATTGCTATATATCGGTTCTTTCTACAGGCCAGAACATCTACAGATGCAACAGTGCGTTGCGCAATCGAGTTCGGTCTAAACTAAAATCCATAAAATTACAAACTCTTGCTGGGTGATACAATTTTTGATAACACATTATTATGCCTATTTGAGGTAATTAATGATAGGCTGTCAAGTTAAGGCAAAATCACCTGTGATCTCATTACCGGGCATAAGTATTCAGTCTGCATGTCGTGGCATCTTATGTGCACTCCTAATTCCATTACTTGACGGAAACGAGATGTCGCTGAAGTTTCAGTACCGTCTCAGCCCTCACTAGACTTATACACCCAAACGGACTTGAAGAGAGCCTTTGCGAGAAATACGTTCACGGCGAAGATGTAAACTTGATTATCGTAGAAAAAGAGAACATACATGCCGATATAAGTGAATCTGCTAGTTCCAGGGACTATTTGATAAGAAAAAGAAGAAGAAGAAGAAGAGGAAGAAGAAGAAGCGGTTGCTGGAACAAGGGCTAGTTAATCAGGAAGTTGCAGTACTTATAGGATGCAGTCGCTGTGCTGTCGCATACCTATGGCAATAAAGCGCTCTCCCCCTCATCAAGAATTGTTGACCGCTGGTGCGCTAATTGCTTGATGGCCAGCATGAAAGTTATTAATTGCTGAAATCTAATCACCCGTGTTGGACGCTAGCGTAATGATTGCT